AAGGAGGAAACGGTTGCCTAAATTCAGTAATGAAAGTAAGAGGATGCAAGAGGAACGGAAATAGGTGAGAACAGAAAATATCGAGTTAAGAGGATAGCTAAAATCGGCTCTAAAATGTAGAAGTTCTTCTAGGTGGCTAGCACATTGCATCTCCCTATCATCTGTCGACGGCGCGGTGGTGGCTGACGGACTGTTGGCACAGCATGACCTCTCCACGACCTAATGCGCAGTTGTGCACCCCCCATTTTTAACTTGATTCCCCTGCAGTTGGATCATGTTTACCTTACCCATCGCATCGATCAAGTGTCTGTTGCTGGAACAATTTTCTTGCTGCCTATTTTCTACCCCTATTATTTCGTGTCCTCAAAAACGCCAGAATGCGTCTTAAAGGCTTTTGAGACGAGTGAACCCTCGTCTAGACGAGACAAATTACTCATCTTCCCAACGAACTCCACAAACTAATTGTGCTTTGAAATGGTGGCATGATTCATAACTGGTCTGAATTTGTGATGACTCTTTTGGGTAGCAGAGGTTACTAATTTTGGTGGTCAGATGCTAAGCCTGATTCTTCAAAAGGGCATGCTTTTTGTGATGATGGGATGACCTTAATTGGCTTGGCAAGCGGCTAATAAGACGACAATTCAAGTGTCAGGCATAACTCATATACTTGTTATGGTGACGTGAGACACTTGCTGAAATTACAACAGAGTTGGCGCCAGCCAGATGGAAATGAGGCACGGGGCGTGCTCTAATAGTCATCCCAGTCTCACTTGTTCACCTACTTATGAGGCAACCGGTATTACTCAGCCCCAGTAACTTCTCCCCGTCTTAGTTGCAACTTATGAACTTGGGTTAATAGCTTCAGTAAAATGAGCGTTAGCTAGTATTTTCCACACCATTAACACTACGTGATTTTATAAGCACTTTGGATTTTTAGTACTCCTTCAAAGCTCTTGGAACTTCTGCTTCCTAAATTAAGCGTTCTGAAATCAATTTTGAGTGGAAGTATGGCCAAAGCACACTTTATCCATCCCATTTGATAACATTGCGTATGAAGAATTCTCATACTTTCTGCACAACATAAAGGCTGTGATTGGAGCAGCACACACGAAGTGAGGGAACGTTAATAGAATTGACCTATCCCCTTGCCTTCCTCCAAAGCCTGTCTTCGCTTTTGGCATCTATCAAATCACTGGGCCCTGGTACCAAAGGGTGCACCTGATTTATAATAACTCCTTGGCTTCTGAAGTGACCATTTCTGAAGGAGCCGTTTCTTTGATGGTCGGCATTTCATTGTTGGCGTTTGAAGTTTAACCTCAGCCGGTTATGCAATCTACACCCTTCACTGCATTCCGACTGACACAAGTCAAATCAAAGCTCACCATTCAAACATGGAAGCCAATTCTCGTCTAGCTATACTCCAAGGCATTACTCTATGTGAATAATGTCATTCGTCTTCCGGTCTCTTCTTTTTGATATTTTAATCGGGAGTGCGGTGATTTATTAAGTCACCGCTCGGCTCCACTTTTTCTAAAAATTATCCCTCGACTGAGACCACAAATCTGTTAACGTATTGATCAACAAGAAATTGCCTTGTTCATTTGACAAATTTGAGGCTATTTCTTATGCCTCTGCATGCCAGCATTCTTGCTCCAGTCGATCAGCAACAAGCTTCATGGCTAAAATCTTCAATTTTGTGTGTGACGCTATGTCGCCTGCTTTCAGATACCAACCAAGCTTCAGGTTTCTCTATTATAAAAGCACAATGGATCGGCTTGTTGTCTCATCTACTGAACAATCCCATCTATGTACATTGTATTTCTGTAATATTTACAATGCATCCTTTTGAAACAGACTTTAGCTAAGTGCTTGCCACTTTCTTAAACTGGCATAGAAGTTATCACAAAGTAAGTGTTTCATTGCCCTTTTAAGGGTGTGCACACCCACAAACTCAGACCGACTCTATATTCAAGCCTGGTCGTTATATTTCACGAGTCAATTACTCTTGGTGTAATCGTAATCTCACTATCAATTTCAATGCCAAAGTCCGTGATCTCTCCGATGACCGCGCTCCTGCGTTAGCATCCGCCAGCACCCACTGTAATGAGTGGCGGTAATTATTTACGATTTGGGATGAATTTGAGAATTTGACAAGCCATTGGAAAGGCGCCTTAGAGGCGAAATGTTGGAAAGTGAGGGTTGGTATGATGCCGCTAAATCAAATTAAGAAGGTCTCATTGATACTTGTTAAGTGTATCCGAGGCTTCACGTGCCTGATTATGCACGCATCCATCGCAGTCAATCTCCTCCATGATTTTACAGATGGGTGTGACTTCGGGGAACTTTATTCAAACAATGCTACCTTCCTCATTTTATAAGAACTTGGAACTCTGCAATTGACTCTCCTCTCCATTCTCATTCATTTGCAAAAAATGACTAGGAGACCAGTTAAGGCGTTAACCTGACCAGAGTGCAAAAAACTAACAAATTGCATTTGATTTTAGCTCAAGTATTGTGCACAAATTAATTAGTAATGAATGCTCCATGAATCCTTAGAAAGTACAGGATCGAGGTGTGCAAACACACAACCCTGCTTTGTTAGTGATCCATAGGGTGTGTCATGCGAAAAGAACTTCAATATCACCCCATATTTGACATTACCTAAGATCGCTACAGTTCTGTTTACTTGATCTATCCAAACGGAGTTCAGACGTTTTACTCAAATCATGACTTGCGAGAAAAATGCTTACGGTGTGATGGGATCCAGAAAACGATTGTCATGCAACCCAAGGGGAGCAGCTCATGCCTGAACAGCAGTATTGAGTCCCACCAGTTTAACAAACCTGCCAGTGACTTCCGCGGATTCCTGCTTTGAATGAATTACAAGTGCACTTTCGAGGAGTAAAGTGATCATCCTATTACTCAGTTAGCCAAAGATTTCAAATAACTGTTTGTTCACAGATTGTATGTAAACAACTGGTTTTCATTTAATCTCCCTTTTTAACCACGATTTGCTCTTTACACTAAATAAAACGAGTGAATCCCCGAAATTCCCATCCAGGTGATAAAAGTTAAGATCAGTACCAAGTGCCCATGAGAATGGCACCTGGTTTGAGGCTGAATTTGCAGAGATCGAGGTCAGCTGCGAAATTGCCCCATCTTGGAGAAAAATGCTAATGGAATGATAGCGGAACGGGACCTTTGTTAATGCAGTCAGCGCATCCAGAAACTGGGTGTAAGATCAAAAATTTCGCGAATAAACGGCCAAACTCTGCGCAGTACAATCCGTGGCGTAGAACATTAAGCCCGTTGCCAAATTGCCTAACTCCTAGTCCCGCAAAAGGCCAAAGTTCATAGCTCACAATTCACTCAACCTCTGCCCATCTGTCTTGCTAGCAATAGCCGATGACGAGCGCTAACACACCTTACTACTTGTAGCGTAAAAGTTTACTAAGTGGGTGAACTACGCTCCTGACTTTGGGAAAAATCGGCCAGCTAATCCACAGTATGTCCTCAATTACTTTAGCATTGCTCATTGGTCATACTTTCTAACCCCGATGCATGTGCCTAGAGAAGCGACGTTAGTCGACTAACTTATTAGTGCCTTTGTGGCCCACACAGCAAGGTCGGTGCCACGCATTGACCCGCGACTCACATCTTGGGAAGATAATCTTCAAGTAAGTTTGTATGCGTGCAAACTATATTTTACTTTAAAAGTAGGACTAAAAGATATTTACATATAACGTTGAGTTTTGTATAGAAGATCAGAGAAGGTAGAGGAACGATGTGGGAGATTGGCTGAGGAGGGAAGCAACGCGTGTGGACCGATCAGGTGAACTCATTGTCTACGATGAACGAGCACGGTTAGCAGCAATAGCATTACTGTCCTGACCTTCTAGGAACCGCCGTAGAAGGTAGGCACCAAGAGGTTCTGTTCCAGGTGCAGGAGGTAGAGAAGACACAGACCGAGAAGTTGATGAAACTGGCGCTGAATGTACCGGAGTTGACGTTGAAAGTCGTGGCAACTGAAGATCTGACCGTGTGGAGAGAGGATCTTTGCGTTCTCTTAAAGGGGAAGAGTCAGGTGAACTGCAGAAGGTGCCATCTCCGGCAGGACGTCGCTTCCTGTTTAGAGGAGGAATCCAGTCAAAGTAACACTCCCAATCTGAAGGGTACTCCTCACAGAAACCGCTGTCTGCATACTCTACCTCCAGATCGTACCGCGAGTCGATGAACGGAAACATCCAACCGGAACGTACAAGAGCAATACTATGATCCTAAGGCGGAAAAACATGCTTATTTATGGCCTACCTGCGCGCTTGTGCACACATGTGTAGGTGGTAAAATATCATTGGTCATTACGTTGTCATTTTTCGTTAACTCGCGAACACATTGGTTCAATTGTAAGCCAATCAGAAGCACGAGGGGTACGAATGTGTGGCGCACTTTGGTGATTCGGCAACTGATTTGAAAAATCAAAGGTCAATTTGGTTCCCACACCCTTTTGATTGATTTCCTCCAAAGTGCCTTTTTCTTTGAATTGCAAGCCTGGTTACTACTCAGTCTTTCGGCCTTTAAAACCTCAGAATTCAGTTAATGGTTGGGGAATTACGCAACCTTGAATCCACACTAGATGCCTTAGTGTCTCACTCGATTCATGCGTTGGCTATAGTGAACAAAGTCTGTGCCGGTTCGGATTCTGAGCCACTTTCATAACATTAATGAATTCATGCGTAAACGCTATTGTCTAAAAATTAAATCCGCGTATTAGAGCCGTGGACGTCCTCTGCTCAAATGGGTTCACATTTTTTTGTTTGTTAAGCCTTTTCACTCTGATCAACGCCACTAACACGAGCCTACAATCCCAAGTAATCGGTTTGCACTAGTGGGTTGATTAGTTTGGGGGCTGAGGCATAAAAATGGGTGTTGTGACTGCGGGTTTCATGTTGGATACGAATAAAACCTTTCACACTTTCCGATTTCACGTGGATTTTGAGGTCAAATTGCATTCATTTTGACCATCGGGTACCATCGGTCTTTCTACGAACTGGGTTCTTTAATAAACAATTTGGTATCATCTGCACCAGTATCTTTGCTTCTAATTCACCAGGGTTGGGTAAAAGTCTCGCTAGGATTTCACGTTTTCTAATAACTTGAAGGTAATTATTAGTATTATTTCTTCAAGTTAAGGTGCTTCAACGCTTATTGAAATCATTTTTTGCATTAAGCTAATAATGATTTGCCATGCGTCTAGTTTTCAAGGGAAGAGGTTACAATTAATCATTAGTTTAAGAATGCAAGTCCATATTTGGTTAATCATAAAATTGCATAAGGTTCCTGAAACTTACATTATCAAGAAATCATAGGTACCATTAGCTTCCAATTAGCGCAGTGCCTGCTCTTACCCTACTTGATCATTGGTGCTAATGGGCGCTGAACTGCACCCAGTAATACTTCCAATGCCCCTTTCTGAGTCGAAGTCAATGGTTTTTCCGGTGCTTGAATAAAGTTAAAGTCACGTAATACGCTGGCAGCAAATACATTTAAGCACATTTTTTCGTTTCTGGCACAGCTCCAGAACCTCAGCACTCGCGAAGAGCTCCGAGCCTAAACAAAGGTGATGCATTATCGATTCGTTGATAACCTCAACTTTCGCACATTGCCAACACAGTTTGAAACTGGTAAATTCTCTCAAATCGCAATGCAAAGTATTGCTTCCTCCTGTGTGGAAAGGCAATTTTATACGTGGGGTGCAACCACCTCATCAGAATGCTGTGGCCTTTTCTCCGATCTCACACATCTCCTAGTTATGCTTAATTTATGCTAGAAATGAAAGCATGAAAGATCTTGCTGATGACGTTGGACGTATAATTCTATAAGCAAAAAGTGCAGTTGTTTAAAGTGCCGTCGTTACAATGGTTTGTACTTCTAAATTTCAATTAAATTGGTAAATTCAAATAACGATTTATTAACTCAAAACATGCACACTGTTCAAACAGACACAAGCGTGTGTGGGTGAGCGGGTGTGTAAATACAGGCGTGCACCTTTCTCATTACCTAGTGCCTTTTAAACCAAGCGGAAAACGAACCCAAAAGTATGGAAAACACATAAACCCAAGATAATTTGCATTCGCCTTTTATGATTGCGATCATTTATCCCTTACAAAGATGCACACGGAAATCCTCAACATTCTCCGCTTCCCTTTCAACTTGAGGCATCGTTAGCTCTCACCTCATCGTCGGTCGCCTTTACCCAGCATATGCAGAAGGGGATGCTTTTAAACGGGGCGGCTTTTCTCAACATAGGCGATGACTCAGTCACAACAACAACCATGGATGTATGAGTTGTCGTGTCGTTGCAGTAGCGCCTCTATCAACTGGTGCTTAGACAGGAGCCACTAAGATGGACTCACGATTGAGGCCTTCAGAGGGCTGGGACTTCTACGGCCCAGACGAATCTGTGGCAGGTAGTGGAAGTTGAAGAAAAGCTCTCGTCGAGGCAAGACACGTTAGCTCGTGTTTGTGTGTATTCCTTCCCGCAATTTTGTTAACACATACTGTACGAAGTGAAAATTTTGATTTAAGCTATTTCGGGACTTCTGGTTCAATTACGCTGTCACTTTTAAACAAATTAGCTCACCTAAAACTGATCCCTTTCATATGATCAAAAATGGAGCACCGATATTTAAGAATAAACCAGAGAAATCATACTTTGGTTACGTCACATATTCGGTTAGGTGACAAGTTTTGATTAAAATCTAGCATCAATTCTTATAGAGGCATATCTTTAGCAATAATACCCATTTTTTTCTCCCTTTAAGGAAGCCAAGAACATTAATTTTAATTAAGGAGAGGTGATGTGCTTAAAAATTTTATACTACGGCTAGGCAGTCATACTCTGTCTTGCGCATGTTTGCAAATGGGAGAGTTCTTCGGATTGTTGTTTAAGCCTCACCCTATTCCTCTACTTTCGAATAGAGTAACGGAATGGAATGGTAATGAAGGCAGTAGGCTGTAAAGAAAAGTGATGGATTGACTTGTTTATCTCACGCCCATTAACAGTTTGCTCTCTTGGTAGTGGGAGGGGGAAGAACTGGTGCCACTTACATCCTAAGAGGAAGATGTCACACCCATTTTGGGAGATTTTCTTCCGTTTTTGCGGTCGCGTGAGCAAAAACGAAACAGCCACTATTAAATTTAATTCGTTTAACTCCAAATACATGACTTCCTAACCTTTCGGCGATGCTGTCTTCGGTGAGGGCAACTGGTAAGGTTCAATGTGCTTTTAAAACGAGGATCTTGACTTGCTTTAGTTTATGTTGCAGAAGATGTGAGTGGAATAGATCTCACTGCTCTGCCAAAGCTAGGGCATTCAGCAACGTACGGCAGTGTCTCGCCGTTAAAGGTCTCTCAGAAATTATTGATGAAGCACAGCAAAGCGCATGTCAAATGATTCGTTATTTTCCAGTTGAATGAATATGCCGTCACTTGCGACGTAAGAGGATTCACCAAAGACCAAAGTTTTAACTGATTATATGGTAAATCTTGGAGAGGAGGGCGCTGATTTGCCTGTGCAGCTTCACATGACGCAAAATTGATTCACGTTGTCCATTGTAGGAGAAGTTCATACACTCCTGTTTAGATCATTCTCGTGAGCTCACACTATCACAAACTGCTTATGTTTTTCAGTCCTCACTTGACTTTGACTCCCCAGTAGGAGGATTATGGGAATCAAACCTGTGGATTAGTAATTAAACAAGCAACGTAAATTCATTGACGAGGAGTCGGTTAAGATTTTCCCGTTTGTTCACACACTCAGCAGAGAACTGCTTAAGGGATAGCTTAACCATCCTCTAAAAGGCCAAGACTTCAGGGCATCGCTAAAACTGGCTATGCTTAATGAATGATGGAGTTAAGGATTAAAGTCCCGACTAAGCGTTGGCTTAGGTTAAACGGTGATCTTTAAGAAACGGCCAGTCTTTGGTGAGCTGCTTTTCATCACGGCACCTGTTTTTTAGAAGACAACATTTCCTACACAAAAGGTACAAACTCAAGGCAAGTGTGATCGCTTTCAAGTTCTTTGAAATTGATTCCTTTTTAGATGCTTCCTCAGCAATTTGGCATGTGTAGCGACTTCCGTATTTTTGTAAACATTACCGTAGTCCGAGTGAGAGAGGCGCTTTTGCAGCAAGCAGCTGACCTCGAGAACATAAAGGTCGGACTCAGCATTGATGGACACATGTAGTCTGTGCGAATATGGGATTTAATACTCAGAGGTAAATGGAAAGCTGTGCCATTTGAAATGCGTATCGTGAAACGCTGCTTCAATCGCTGGCACCTCTACGAAGTTTTGCCTTACATTGTGAGGGATTGCGTGCTTGGCACGTTTTCGTCCCGTTGCAGAAGTCGTTTGCTCGAGGTGTGGATTATTCGCATTCTTTATTAGTGATGCAACACCTTTTTTAAACGAAATATGTCTATCACTGAAGGCACTCCATTTCGGATGTGAGGTAAATCCAGACATTTATTTTAAATGGGTTAATCTTCCAGTATGCAAGTTTCAAACATGGCTTTTTGAATATAGTGTCTTATAAAGTGTTTTTTATTTATTTCAACCATTTTGCAATGTCTTACTTTTACGCACTTGCACTCCCTTTTGAAACGTTTCGGCGAAGGAACCGACAAGAGGCAATTGTCACGGGAACTCAACTAAAAAGATTTTGGATTCATCATCACAGTATGGTGCAGCTGTTGTTTCATTGTCCACACGACAATTCTTAGAGACACCATGGGAGAGAGTCGAAAAACGTCAAGGCCTAGGCTCCCTCCAAGCACTCAGTCCTGCACACAGTCACAATCGCCTGAAGGAGCGGTTAGAACGTCGCTGATGTCGCAATGATCCTCGCTGGGGCGAACACACTACCAGCCAAGCTGTCGGCGCAAATTGAGGAGGATAGTCGACATTCCAAAGGTAGATGGTTCCCTCGACTACGCCTTAAAAGGGCATTATTAAATTATTTTGTTGCACCTCTTTGCAAGCCTTTCCTTGCTCCCAGTTTTATGCTGCTGGTGCTATGGCCATGCTCGGACCTCTGCAGAACATCCGATTAATGCATTTTCAAAGCACCACTTTTGATACCCAAACCAACCCTTTAGCCCTTTTTTTGTGCAGTACGACATGCTTCTGAGTAGAGTCTTGCGTTCCTTTGGGCGAGAAACACTCTTTTGCCCTCGAAATCCTGCA